GAAGATTATGAAATTTGGGTAAGTGACGATGTCAAGAAGTATGCACTCCTCAAGGGATTTGAGATCTATGAAAAGATGTGTTTGGATAATGTCCCAATGAACGAAGCAGCCTTGACAGCTGTGGCAAGAATGGCAATGTCAATGGGTAATGGTGACATGGCATTTGATATGGTAAAGAAAATGAAGCAATTGGGTATAAATCCTAGATTGCGTTCTTATGGTCCTGCTCTATCTGTTTTCTGCAATACTGGAGATGTTGACAAAGCATTTGATGTTGAGAAACACATGTTGGAGCATGGTATTCATCCAGAAGAGCCTGAACTGGAGGCACTCTTAAGAGTAAGTGTAGAAGCTGGAAAAGGTGACAACGTGTATTACTTATTGCACAAACTAAGAACGAGTGTGAGAAAAGTGTCATCTTCTACTGCAGACATAATCGTCAAATGGTTTGAGAGCAAGGCAGCCTCAAGATTGGGGAAACAAACCATGGATCAGAGATTTATAAAGGAAGCAATTGAAAATGGAGGAGGAGGCTGGCATGGGCAGGGCTGGTTGGGTAAAGGTAGATGGAATATATCATGTACAGCTGTTGGAGCTGATGCATTATGTAAATGTTGTGGGGAAAAGTTGGCTTTAATAGATCTTGATCCTGTAGAAACAGAGAAGTTTGCTGAATCAGTTGCATCCATAGCTATAAAGAGAGAGAAGCATTTCAGTTTTCAAAAATTTCAAGTATGAAAGCTTCTTTATATCTTTTCAATCACTCTAATCATGTACGCAAGTTTTGATGAAGTTGGTATATTTATGTCCTTGCAGAAATGGCTAGACTACTATGGGCCGTTTGAAGCTGTGGTAGATGCAGCTAATGTTGGTCTTTTCAGCCAGAGACGATTCATGCCATCAAAGGTTAGTTTGGCTTGAATGAATAGGATTCACTGCAACTTTACCCAATTGTTTTCCTTTGCTTTTTCGTGAGTGATTGTGAGTTCTCTTATGGTAAATTCTTTAGGTCAATGCTGTTGTTAACGGAATACGCCAGAAACTTCCATCAAAAAAATGGCCGCTCATTGTTTTGCATAACAAGCGGATCACTGGACAGAAGATGGAGGAGCCAGTAAATAAAGCATTAATTGAAAAGTGGCAAAATGCAGATGCGTTATATGCAACACCTACTGGATCCAATGATGACTGGTAGGAAATATATGCTTAGAAGTTACAGCTGACCTGCATGATTGCTTATTTGCATAATTGCATCAACTTTAGACACTATGGCTTAATTTGTGTCAGACATATTTCCAATGCATATGCATTTAAAGCAATGGGTAATAACCTGTGATTCAGGTACTGGCTGTATGCAGCTATCAAGTTCAAGTGCTTAATTGTGACCAACGATGAGATGAGAGACCATACATTTCAACTTTTGGGAAATGACTTCTTTCCAAAATGGAAGGAAAGGCATCAAGTGAGTAAAGCTCTCTTTTATCTCAATCCTTTTGATAGACTTTTTGGTTTACATCTTTATCCTGCAAAATTTTGTTTAGTTTGATAGCTGCATCCAACTTATTGCTAAACCTTGTGATGAATTTGCTCCATTGCCTACTATATTTATCTAAAGTAATTTTCCTAACAAGGCATCTCTCTTTCCCACATCTAAGGTGCATTTCAGTTTTTCAAATGCCGGTCCAGTGTTTAACATGCCTCCTCCCTGTTCTATTGTAATTCAGGTTAGTTGTAATTTCAGTTCCAGTGTTCTGTTGTGTGTGTGTGTTGGTGTAAAGTGCTTAAACTGACAGAATAGAGCTATAAAGTGTGCTGAACGCTCATAATGGAAATACATGCCGACAGGAATCAGAGAAAGGCCATTGGCATATTCCCATTGCATCTGAACTTGATTATGATGCTGAAAGAACATGGTTATGCATTACACGAGCTAAGTCACATGTGGTGAAGGAAGATTCTTCAACCATACCTGAAGGTAACACCAAGTTTAGTTTATAAGTGGTTCTTCACTTCAAGTATATGGGTTTGTTATTTACACAGCCATAATCTACAATTACTAATTGCTAAAGGTATGTTCTGTTGTTTCTATTTGATAATGCTCTTTTATGAGACTTAAATAGCATTCATGTAGTAGTAGTAGCATGTATGTTTGCAATTAAGTTGATGTCAGTGATGGTATCAACTGCATGTTTTTTAGATGATTCTTTTATGACTACAAAAATATTCAGTAATCATTTTTCCATTTTTTTAGAGTTTCTGGGTTTGTTGAGGTGTTGGCAATTTTATGCATAGAAGGCTAAAACCAAACTTTACTTATTGCCAAGGAAAGAGCCTTAATTCACTGGAAAATTTGTAGTTATGAGTTGTAAGGTGTAATTATTGAAAAACTTTGTTCCTTTTAATGGACTTCTGCATATCTTGGATAGATATGCACAAAAAGGTTAGCTAGTTCAATCACTTGTTTGACTTAAATTGATGATCTGCTTAGGAATGCTAAACCAAATTGACTTTATGGTGTCCTATTGATCTATTTACATACAGGGTTTTCTTGTGTAACAGATTTGCAGCCTCTTGACCGCAATAAGGAATGTGCGAGGCCAACTATTCAAATTGCAGTTAATACAAACTCTCTGTCACCAAAAGATGGTAATTATGATAAACCACAAAAGCCTACTGAGGAAATATACAAAAATATCAGAGACATTTTGTCGGCTCCAGTCCCCTCAGATCAATGCACGGTTCTACAAGAAATAGAGGCTGCAGAGATGCTTGGTAACTGTGTTATTGATTTTCAAATATGAAGCAAGTGGCTGTCTTGTAAAGTTGCAGAAATATAAAATGAACTCCCCGTTGGAATCCCTTTGTATAGTTTTGAGGCCCCTTTGTATGTCGATGCTCGGTGTACTTTAGTGATGTTTTTTGCTCATCATAGAGTTACCATTTTGTCATTAGAGGGTATTTCTTTCTGGAGAGAATGGAGGAGTGGATTGTGGAAGGTAGAAGGTTGCGGTTCTTCATATGCAGGTGAAATTTTGTACATTGTGGAAATCCATTATTGTGAAGCAAATCAGTTCATCCATTTTTCTGCATACAGTAGATTTTGCTGATAAATTCTGTTAAAATGTCTTCTAGCTTTGCAATCATTTGTCGGTGAGTCACATGCTAAGATGGCAGCTACTCAATTTAATTATCCACCAGCATAATCACTCAGGTGGATATATGCTGTCACGCAGACCATGAACCCTGTTGCTGGATTATAATAGCAGGGAACGCTTTGTTTTTGCTGGGAATACTTGCATACTATACCAGTTGAACTTGTCTTCTTTCTCCAAGGAAAGAAAAGGTCTGTAGAGTCTTGTGTGACTCGATTAGGTCGCTTGATTTTTTAACATGGATTCACTCTTTCTTTCACAACAAACAAAAAATGATCACAGAATTTCTCGAAAAGTTCCCCCTGATTAGCATAATTAAAGAGAAAAAAAGACAACATAGGGAATTCACAAACAAATGAGTTCCAGCAAGCTTTGGTCCTACAATTAGCTGTTCAATGAAAGAGAGAATAGATGGTGAACTGTCTTTAAGAAAGGAAAATATACTAGAATAATTCCATTTTAAACGTAACCAAGCAAAACTTTAAATGTATTACTACTTTGTTTAACATTAGACTTGAATTCATAAGCTTATGGAATTAAGTTTTGATGTGATATTAGAGCTCAAGTAGCCTTCTCCTTGTATGTTTTGCATGTGGTAGGAGTATTTACGTATTAAGAGTGTATGAAGTCAAATCGATTAGCTTAAATGGATATAAAATAACAAATCGAGCTTTTATTCACTTGTTAACATAATCAAAAGAGAAAATGCAGCATCAAATTTAAATATTACAGTATCGTCATACTAGTATATGAAATGGACGGTATATCTACATATCTATACCATGGCAAATTAAGTGTGTGGGAGTGGCACAAGATCATTTTGTCAGTAAGTGACTGATCTTTTTACAGAACGACTGAAAAAGGCTAAAACATAAGATCACGGGACTGCAATACTTCTTTGTCATCTTTCTCTTATTCCCTTCCATGCCATGGCGATTGGCCATGGGCTAAAAGAGAATCTCTCTCTCTCTCTCTTTTCTTGGGTACAAAGAATTTGTTTTGGGTTATTTCACTGCTTCATGATGACCACATCACAAGCCTCTCTTTTTCCCTCGCGTTCAAAATTAACCAAGAGAGTGTACATTTCCAAAAGGAGAGACAGGGGAAAGATAAGGAAAAGTTTGCGTCATATCTTTCGCTGCCTTCCTCCTTTTCCCCAGTACTCATTTTTAACTTTTAACTCATCAGCTACTCTACTTGCCATCATCAGT